TTAAAATACTTGATAGTATTATACATTTTATTATATTAGTATCACATTTTATTGCATTAGTATTACATTTTAATTATTTCATGCACTATAGCGTGTTTATAAATAAAAATCTTTTTTTGTTTACAATACAACTTAATTATTTAATAAATATTAGAATCTTAGAAACTTTAGATTAAGATAAAAAAACAAAAATATTAGAAACTTAATTATTATTATTATATTAATCAAATCCAATCGCTCTTGCTCTTCTAGGACCATTGAGAGGAATTTCATCTCCAAGCTGGTTCTCTGTCTGTAAGGCAATTTTCGTAATCCTTCGCCCAATGTTATTAAAAAAGCACTAGTTCCATCAGGTTCTTTAATCGGTTCTCGTAATACTGCAATAACGCTTTCGTAAAACTCCTCATCTTTGCTGGATTTATCTAACATTCTTTCTAAAATAATAATAAATAAAAAATAATAAAACATACATAAAAAAATAATTGAATAACTCTTAACGGTCAAAGCAAGATCACAGTGTTTATTATAATTATGTGTGGATTTTATATACTGCGTATGTAGTCCCTCCATAAATTACGACGCTGATTAATTTCAGTATTGACACATACTTTCTACCGCAGTAGTATCACGAATTTAATTGATTAACAATTTTTCATGTTCATAGCATCATGGATCATAATAGTGTTTTGAATGACATATTAAAATCTAAAGATGATAAATTGAAATTCCGTATTTAAATTCTGTAAATAATTAAATCTTTAATTCTTATATATTACGAAGAATATCACGTAAATTTTTGGCGTTTCGTCCCGGCTTTCACTACTGGACTCATTAGTAAGGCATTGTAGTAGAAACCTATTTTAGACGCCTTAGTAAGTTATTAAATCGAGATTCTATATAAAGAGATATACGCGTGTCTCAACACTAGCGAGAATTTGCGAATATTGATAGACCTCTGATGGCGGATCCAGTGGCCGGGACAAAACGCCAAAAATTTACGTGATATTCTTTGTAATATATAAGAATTAAAGATTTAATTATTTACAGAATTTAAATACGGAATTTCAATTTATCATCTTTAGATTTTAATATTTTAAAACACTATTAAGATCCATGATGCTATGAGCATGAAAAATTGTTAATCAATTAAATTCGTGATATTACTGCGGTAGTAAGTATACGTTAATGCTGAAATTAATCAGCGTCGCAATTTATGGGGGGACTACATATGCAGTATATAAAATTCACGCATAATTATAATAAGCACTGTGATCTAGCTTTGACCGTTAAGCGGGGAGCACAGACTTTTGCATAACGCATAAACTGCATATACATAAAGAATTTGATTGGTCTATTGACTCATGCATAAGAAAATGGGCCAATAAAATTCTTTATGCACATGCTTTATGCGTTATGCAAAAGTGTGTTGGGGCTCTTATAGGCTGTCTTCTTCTTGTTTGTGTTTATATCACATGTACGGTCGTAAAAAGATTTTAATATTTATGAATAACTCTTGTTATAAACGTTACATATTCATAGAAAAATACTTTTATTATAGTCATAGTTAATTGCACTTTCTTCACTAACTGACTGTGACGAGATAGATAAATTGGTTCCACTGTCCATTGGTATAGGCACCAACATTGACGAATTATCACTAGCTGTGGTATTTGAATTATCCGTATTATCAGTGCTTGCTGTATTTGTTAGACTGCTACACGTGTTCTAAAATCGTAAACAAGCAATAGATATCCCTGAAAATTCAAAAATTACAAATAATAATTAAAATAATAGTAATTAAATAATAATAACAAGAATTAAAATACTAATTTAAAATTTAAAAATTAAACAATTTTATTTTCATTTGTTATACACTACTCAACAAAATCTAGGGAACACTTTCGAAAACACTAAAAATTGGACAATATTTAAAATATCATAACTTGGTGAAAAATTATCGTAAATAAAAAATTAAAAAAGAATTTTAAAGGTTGAAATCTACTTACAAAATCAGAAATTGTTATTTTAATCTGATTGATCCTTTATGAAATTATACGGACACAAATCAATATCCCTCAAATCTGAAAATTTTGCTCAAACTTTGCAAAGGTCTATGGCGTGAGGTAAAAATTAAACGAAAATGTAGTTTACAGTAATCGAAAGAGTGAATTTTTATTTTCAATTTGTTTTTTTAATGAACGTTGTACGACTTTTTTTCACTATTTGTGCAAAATTGTCAGATTTGAGGAATATTTATTTTTGTTTGTATAACTCTATAAAGTATCAGTCATATTGAAATTTTAATTATAGATTTGGAAAATAGAAATTTCAAGCTTTAAAATACTTTTTTAATTTTTTGTGTGCGATAATTTTTCACTAAGTTACGGTGTTTTGAATATTACCCAACTTTTAGCGTTTTTGAAAGTATTCCCTACATTTTGTTGAGTAGTATATTATAAACTTGTTATATTGGAAACTTGTGTAAAATTATGTGTAAAATATAATCTATTGTACAATTTTTACATAAATCAGAGCCTAAATGAAAACATGATATAATAACTGCATTAATTAATACTTACACAGATTTTACTTGAACGTCGTTAAGAAACTTCATTTGTTGATAAAAACGGAATAAAGTTCTCTTTCTTAAAGAGACATCAGTTGCACTCCCACTTGGGACATATTGGTGTTCTTTTTTTTTTGCCTTTATGTAGCAATCACGTAGATACCTCCATCTTTGCTTTATATCTGCTGGGGTGCGTTCAGGGAGCTCACTACCACACTACCAATGCTAACGCTACCATCTTTGTTCACGGAGCCAAGATAGCGCTAGCTCTGTGAACAGTATGTAGCGTTTGCCCATGATATAAAGACAAGAGTATGCTCGTCCGGTGGTAACCCACTGCGCATCTATCAAAAATAGAGGGGATAAGCACGTGACTGTCACCAAGTTACGTCACATTCGATTTATTTCGGTTAATTACGGAGCGGTTCGAGTTCGGGTAATATGGCCGCAAAAACGATCGCGAGCACAATAATAGTATATGTGCGTAAGTAGCGTGTATATTTATCATAAAGTGATCATGCGTGATAACAATGAATTGCGCAGTAAATATATTTCTTGAATTTTTTACAACAATGTTTTTAAACTTATAATTATTTCTTATTTGTTCAATTCAAATATAATAAAATATAATTTCTTGCAATCGCTCATAATATTGAATCTTGTTTTAAAATTCTATTTTTCAATTATTGATTATGTAAAGTGGGTTTTATAAATCGCGCGCTTCTATAAGATAATGTTTACAACAATAATAAAATGACTTTTTATAATATAAAAATTATTAATTTCAAGATAATGTCATATATAGTACTAATATATTACATGATACGTTTTATTCTTAAAATAAACATTTCAATTAAAGTACTGCAAAAACCGTTGTAAGTATATTGATAAATAATACATTTTAATTTACCGGAAAAATAATGATGTTTTTTTCATATTTTTTTTTATATTAAAATATTTAATGTAATTGATTTATTTGGAAAATTTTATATATTTAAATTAATACAATATTGTTGTACCTCTCGGTGCAACAAGATATTATTTTGGGATTCGATCCGCTCAAAGGGTTGGAACCCACGAGGAAAACAAGGAAAGTGGTCAAGGTCGTAGAACAAACACACACTGCACCACACTTTTATTAAAATAACCCCTTTTTATTTATTATAACACTTACAATTTCGAGTGGTTATTACCACTGATTACATTTATTCAAGTAATCGTAACCCTTTATTTAATTATTATAATTACCCGATTGAATGATTACACTTTGGTTGTTAATTGCTTATGTTACAATTCGAATAGTTGGTTACAATTGTCGAATTGATTTAATTAAAGAATATATTCGGGTTAAAGTCCTCACTCGTGACTTAGACCGGTCGGCGACACTCGTTATCGCGGATGTAATATGACTCGGTTCTCGCGACGCGCGTAACGTTTAGATGTATAACAAGACTCTCTCGCCGGTCCTTAGACCGCCGAATATATAGGCGTCGCGGAGTCATCGAACTAGCGGCATTCGTGCCGTGTGCAATGCGGACTTCGTCCTCTTGCATTTCGGCAGTTCGTTGTCCTGTCGAAATGCAAGATTTGCTTTTTATTACTAATTGTTCGATGAGTGATCGTTGTCCGCACGCGTTATGGAATTTGCAGCCTTGCATTTCCGCAAGTCGTTGCTATGCCGAAATGCAAAGGTTGCTTTGCAGTAATAATCTTGCATTTCCGCCAGCTCGTTGCTAGGCTGAAATGCGAGACTTAATTGTGGTAGCACTCGCGGGCTACAACAATATCAATTTAATAAAATAATTTATGTATTAAATATAATATATACATTAATTTACATGTGTTATCATTAAAATTTAATTTAATATAATAATAAGATTAATTTTTGTTTATTTCATACAAGTTTATTTCATACTTAATTAATAAAATATTACTTTCATACAATTTTTCCGTCCAAAATGAACTTTACATATACTTAAACATATTATACTTTGTATCTCACATCTCAGTAAAGTAATGCGTATTAATGTATTACAAAGAATTCAATAAAAGATTATTTTTTATGCTGACACTTATAAAAATAGTAAAATAGTAATTTTTTATAATATACATTGCAAAGAAATTATAATAATTTCGAAATTACCGCGTAATGATGACGTAACTTGGTGACAATTCTGATTGACCAGTTGACAGTTACGTGATTTATCGATGCGCAAGAGCATACCCTTGTCTTTATATCATGCGTTTGCCCTAACCATATTGCGTACGGCAAAATGGCAGTTCCGACGAACCACCCGACCGTTACGGACGCGTCTCGGTTCGGGTGCTTTCCATTGTATATTTCTGAAAGTATTGCCGACTTTGATTGTGCATCGCATCACAAATGGAAGAGCAAGAGCGTAAAAAAAATTATTAAAGGTAACTGCACTTATAGTGCAAGAATTAATAGATTCTTCATCGTCTGATAAAAGTGAAGATGAAGAATTAAAAATATTGGAAAGATACAAAAATCCTAGAAGGCACGTGAAGAGAATAGAGAATTACGTAGAAGAAATAATACCAGGATTAACAAAGGAAGAATTTAAAGCCCATTTCAGGTATTATTAATCAATGTTAATAATTTATTTTTTGGAAAGAAAAATTATATTTTGAATATCTTTGCAACCAACGAATTTTATATCATTTTAATATATGTTTATAATTTAGAGTGTCTCCTGAAACTTTTAATTATATTCTATCTTGTATTGAACCAAAACTAAAAAGAACAGTATGTGGAACTCATATGATCTCTCCACGCACACAATTTATGTTGACGTTATGGAGACTTGCTACTCCAGATTCTTTTAGGTAAATTATGGTTGCACTGTACTTTATGCAATAATTATGTTTAGTAGAATAAGGATGCCGTCTACTTGAAGCTACAAATGCTTTAAAGCATTTAATTAATCAGAAGAATGGTAAGAAAAACTTTACTAATTGACCAATTAAAAATGCTTTAATTAAAGCATTTGTAGCATCAAATTAACTGTAGCTGTAAACTATCACTTTCATTATCATACTATATATGTATAGAGATTGCTTTATTTAAGATGTTTGAGATCGGTCGCTAGAAATTTTTAGAAATCGTCAACGAATTTAAAACTTTTCTTACTTTAACAAATATTAAAATCTTTTTAAGACCGTACAATTGATAAACAATAATAAACAAGAAGAAGAAAGTCAATAACGGTCAAAGCTAGATTACAAATGTTTATTAAAATTATGTGAGAATTTTATATACTGCGTATGTAGTCCCCTAAATCGCGTGTCAAAATTTTTTTTCAGACTTACAACGCAACACTAAACAACTACCGCAGTAATATCACTTTAGTTAAATTGACAAACAATCTAACAATTTTTGATGCTTATATAGCATACAAATTTTAAAGATATCTTTCAACATATTATTAAGATCCAATAAGATGCTATAAGCATGAAAAATTGTTAGATTGCTTGTCAATTTAACTAAAGTGATATTACTGCGGTAGTTGTTTAGTGTTGCGTTGTAAGTCTGAAAAAAAATTTCGGCACGCAATTTAGGGGACTACATACGCAGTATATAAAATTCACACATAATTTTAATAAGCATTCATGATGTAGCTTCAACCGTTATTGGCTTTCTTCTTCATGTTTGTTAATTTTCTTACTTTGTTATGATCAATACTAAAAAAACAAAACTCGTGTTGTACATACACATCTTTTGTGACAAATGTAACCTTTGTTAAATCTCCAAATCAATAATTTTTGTTTTTATTTATGCTTAGATCGATTTGTGAGCGGTTCAATTTTGGCAGAAGCACTGCACTATGTATAACAAGACGAGTTGTAAGAGCACTCGTTCAGCTTGCACCTGTTGTAATTAAATGGCCCACAGGTGAACGATTAAATGAAGTGTGGACAGGGTTTGAAAGCACAAGTGGTTTTCCCAAAGTAATTGGTGCTATAGATGGTACCCACATCAATATTCCAGCCCCAAGAGGCAATCCTGAATCTTATGTAAATCGAAAAGGTCATCATTCTATCCAACTTCAGGTTTGTTTTACTATTCTAAATGCTTCGTATTAAACTTAATGTAATTTATATTTTAGTTTATTATGTATACCTCTTTTCGTTTAGGCTATTTGTGATCATAAGGGTTTATTTACTCATTGTTATGTTGGACACGTTGGATCTGTCCATGATCAGCGCGTGTTCCGTCAGTCTGAAGGGCAAAGTTACTTGGGAGATATAACAAAATTTCCGCAAGACAGTCATTTAGTTGGTAATCTGGCATATAAGCTACATGAAAACTTACTCACACCATATCGAGACAATGGTCATTTAACACGACGCCAACAAAATTACAATTTCTGTCACGCTTCATCAAGAGTTGTTATCGAAAGAGCATTTGGGCTTTTAAAAGGAAGATTTCGAAGTCTTTTAGCAATACTTGCAATGGCTCGAACCGACTTGATACCAATGCACATTCTTGCTTGTTGCGTATTACACAACATCTGTTTAATGAAAGGAGATGAGTTTAATTTTAAAATAAATGAAAACGTAGAGATTATAATTGATGTGGCGGGCAACGATGAAAATGTTCCTCATATTGCTAATGCAGCTACTGCCAAAAGAGATATGATATGCCAAACATTAAAAATTAGACATGTGTAATTTAAAAAACATTGACAAATATTAAAATAATCACTAAAATTTTTATTCTTTATTTCTATATGTAATATAAAACATCTATATCTAATAGATAGATAGATATTCTTTATTGTTTCTTTTCCAAGATAACAAGGCTTCCGTCTTACATTATTTACAAAATACATATTATTATTACACTTTTCAATACTGCTACATATTATACTACTACTCATAATCGGATATCCCTTAGTAGTCCCTTTTATCCCGTTTCCTCTATCGTCCTCCTCTCTCTCAGTCCCAAGAGGTCCCTCATCCATTCGTCACCACCACCTCCCTCATCTAATATCTCCTCTATACTGATCTCCTTCGCCCCCTCCTTCCATCTAGCGCATCTCTTTAAGACATGATCCCATGTCTCTTCTTCTGCGCCACATGTCCTGCATTCTCTCCTTTCTTCGTCCTCCCAGTATCTTCCCCCCCTCATCTCATTACCAAGCCTGAACCTCGCTATCCTGATCATCCTTTTTTCTTTTCCTCCTTTACTCAGGTATTTAGGTATTGCCTCTGTCCTTATCCTATCATAAACTTCGTTGTATCTGGATCTTCTTATCCTCTCTTCTCTTTCCTGCCTCTGAATATCCCTGTCCCTCCTGACCATCTCGTCCACTGTATCCAGTCCCATGACCCTTCTCATTTCTATCGCCTTTGTAGAGTATCCTCTTTCTTCAAAAAATCTCCTTCTCTCTTCCTCCCACCTCGAGATCTCTTCCATTTTCCCTTTCCTTATCTCTTCGCAGCATCTCCTTGCCAACTCTCCCCCCTCTCCTTTCCTTAGCTTCTCCTCGTATTTCAGTGCCCTTTTCCCTGCTCTTGTCCTTAATTTCTCCCATTTGACCTCTTCTCTTGCCATGTACGCCGGAGTCCTCCAATCCAGGCCTAGCGTCCATCTTATATACCTCTCCTGCAACTTCTCTATCTTCTCCCTTTCCTTCCATCCCCATATTTCTGCTCCGTATAGCATCACCCCTTCAACCAGCGACTCAAACAACTTTCTCCTTCTTTTCCAGTTCCCCCCGAATCTCCTTTTTCCTATCCCCCAGACCCCTCTCATTACTACCAACGCCTTTCTCGCCACCTCTCTTATATACTCTTCCTGCTGACCGTTTTTCTGTAGAGTGTAGCCCAAATATTTAAATTTTTTCACCTCTTCTATCCTTTCTCCTTTCCATCTCCAATCCATCTTCCCATCTCTGCCTCCCCCCTTTCTGAACCTCATTATCTTACTCTTCCCTACATTTAACACCAGCTTTTTCCTGTCCAAATATCTTTCTAATCTGTTTATCATCATCTTCATTTCTTTTTCCTCTTTGGCTAGAAGCACTATGTCATCAGCATATGCCAGCGTCCATACCTTCTTTCCACCTACCAGCACTTCTCCATCTTGCCCTTTCTCCATGGTCTCCTCTAGATCTGCCAACACCAGATTGAACAACAGAGGGCTTAACGGGCATCCCTGTCTCACACCCTTCCATGTATTAAAACTTTCACTCTCTCTTTCTCCAACCTTCACACTGCATTTCGTCAATTTGTATAGATCTTTTATTCTCCTCTGCAGTCTCTCACTTACTCCCCCCCTTTCCATCGCTTTCCATATCTCCTCTCTCTCCACGTTGTCAAATGCTGCTTTCAGATCTATAAAAAATGCCACCACCTTCCCTTTGTGCTTTCTCAGTTCCCTTCCGATAGGGTGATTTATCACGTATATGTTGTCTATTGTTCCCCTCCCTTTTCGGAATCCTGCCTGCCCCTCTGGAATCATCTTCTTCTCCTCAACTTCTCTTCTGAGCCTTCTCGTCAACACTTCTGCGTAGATTTTGTAGATTGTAGACATCAATACAATCCCTCTATGCTCCTCCGCCTTCTCTCCCTCTCCCTTCTTTACTATTGGTGTTATTATCCCGTTTCTCCAGCTCCCTGGCATCCTCCCGTTTTCCTATACCTTTTCACAAATCCTCCATATCACTCACTTCCTCTGTTCTTTCTCCCCCAAAGATCCACATTTCGTTCACCAATCCATCCCTTCCTGCCGCTTTTCCTTTTTTCAGTCCTCTTATTATTTGACTAATTTCTAGTCTCTCTATCTTTTCTCCTTCCGTTATCTCTCTCTCCTCTGTTGTGCTTCGCCTTATATTCCCCTTGTCACCCTCCAGTAACCTCTCAAAGTACTCTTTCCATTCCTTCATGCTTATGCTTTCGTTTATCCCTCTCTTCTTTCTTCTCTCCCTATTTACTATACTCCATACGTCTTTTTCCGTTTTCGCCGCCTCAGCTTCCTCCATCAGTCTCTCCCTTCCTATTTCCTTCTTCCTCTCGCATAATCTCTTGTAGTCATTCCTCGTCTTCCTGTAGTCTTTGCCCTCCATTTCTCCTTTCCTCCACTTCCTCAAAACTCTTCTTACCTCACTCTTCTTCAGCTTACACTCATCATCCCACCACCATGATCTCCCCCACTCTCCTCTGCCCAATTTCATTTCTTTCCATCGCACTGATTTCATCGCTGCCTTTTCGAGCTCTTCGTACATCGTTTCTACCTCATTCTCTTCTATGCGAAGTTCATCCATCTTCTTGTTGAATATATTTCTTCCCTTCTCTGACCAGTCCATCTTTTTTATTGTCTCCTTCCGTCCTCTTTTTCCTATACCTCCAATCTCCTCTCTTTCTATTATAACTCTGAGCGGATAGTGATCCGACTCCACTCTTTCCTCCACTTTCAGTTCTTTCACTTCCCCCCATGCCTCGTTATTACCTATTACATAGTCTATCACTGATTCCCCTCCGCCCCCGGAGTACGTCCACTCTCCCTCCTCATCTCCCGGCTTTTTCCCGTTCATTATTCCCCATCCTTCCTCCTCCATCACTTTTAGTAAGATCCTTCCTTCTTTGTTTACTTTCTTGTCTTTGGAACCTCTCTCCTTCTCCTCTTCTAGTTCTCCTGCCATTCCGCCATCGGTACCTGTCCTCGCGTTGAAGTCTCCTCCAAGCAGTATATACTCCCCCAGGTTGTTCCCCTCTTCCATCCTTTCCACTATCTTCTTTAACTTCTCTTCCATATCTCCTCTTATATATACTGTAGCGATCCTCCACGTCTTATCCTCCAGCCTGACTACTCTTTGTACCATCCCATCTATTTCTGATTTCTCGCCTCCTTCCCCTACTTCCTCTATCCCTTCCCTAACTCCCGTGATAATTCCTCCCATAGCCCTTCCTTTCCTGTTTTTCCTTTTGGCTGCTTGACATTTCCAAGTAAATCCTTTCGGTAGCTTCCTCTTTATCTTGTTCCATTTTTTTTGCTCAACCCACGTTTCCATTAATCCTATTATGTCCCATTTCTTCAGTCCTTCCCAGAACTCTTCGTCCTTCCCTGCCACCCCTACTACATTCCAAAACGCAATTTTCCAGCCTCCTCCTCTCCCCCTCTCTTTAGTCTCCCTCCCTCTTCCCTCCCTCTCCCTCTTTCTCCTCCCCACTCTCCGATCATTCCTCCCTCCTCCTTCCTCTGCCCCCCTATGCTTCCCCCTCCTCTCCCTCCCCTCCCTGCTTTCCCGTCCCTTCCAGTCCCTCCTCTTCTTCATCCCATCTCCTCCATCTCCCATCTATCCATATTCTTCCATATACAACCCTCGTTCTTTTACCGCACTTTTCCATTTCCTCTGCAATCCTCCGCAAATTGAATTGCATCTTTCTCTCTTTTCATGTCCAGTCCTCTTCTATTCTTTCTATCCTCCCTTTTAGTTTACTTTTCTTCATCATTACTTCTTTCTTCGCCTCCTTACTGCTGAACTTAACCACTGCCATTCTCCTATCCCCTTCTCTTCTTCTCCCCACTTCTCTCACCTCCTCAATTCCCACTTTGAGCCCTAGTATATCCCTCAGCACCCTCTCCGCCTCCTCATATACATCACTTTTCTTCCCTTCCAGTCCTTTTATGATAATGTTCTTCCTTCTTTCATCCCTTTCCATCATCTCAATTTTCTTCTCAATCTTTCCCATCCTATCTTCCTCCCTTGCCCTTCTCTCCTTGTCCTTTTCTCCCCAGCCATCCGGCTCCCTCCTTTCTTCTGTCTTCTTCGTCACAGCCTCCTGCTCCTCCATCTTCTTCTCCAGTTGATTAATTCTCTTCTCCATATCCTCCTTCTCTTCTTTCCATTTCTTTTCTCTCTCCTCTATCTCCTTCCTCATCCTCCCTACCTCCTGTCTTACCGTGTCCTCTGTCCTTTTCCCTTGTTCTTTTATTTCTTTTAGCTCTGCTTTAAGCTCCCCTATAAGATTAACAAATTCATTTCCTCCTCCTTTCTGCGGAGATCTCTCTATCTTCCTGCTCTTCTCAAATGCCCTTTTCTCCTCGTCCTCTCCCTCCAACTCCTCCCCCCTTTTCCTTTTTAACAGCTCTTCGATTGTTCCTATGCTGCCTCTCCTTCCTCTCTCTTGTATCACGAACTTATCCATACTAGAGACCTGTCTATCTTTCTCCTCTCCTGTCTCAGCCAATCACCGTTACTCCTATTGCGCATGCGCGCTATCCTGTATCAGAAGCTTCCTTACTACTCTTTACTCTATCCGTGCCTTCCTCTCTACCAACGTTTGAAGTCACCTCTGACTCTTCGAGTTTCCGTTCTTCTATTCTCTCTATTTCTCGCTTCTACCTTCTAACCTTTCTCTTTCTCTCCCTTTCAGCTCGCCTTTCCGCCAACTCCTCACTCCACACTCCACTCGACCAATAACGCCTGCCCTCCACTCCCTTCCTGTCACTCTCCTCGCTCACCTCCACTTCTGTCTCGCTCCCTATATATCTTTTAGTTGTCACTGCTCTTCCACTCTACCAACCTTCTAGGCTCTCCAAACCGGAAGCCACATCTATATCTAATATAATATCTATTATAATATAAAATATATATATTTTATAATGGACTTTTATAATGACTTTGTAATAAACTTTGTAATAAACTGAATAATAAACTGCATAATAAATCCAAGTGTGAGAAAGTGCCAATAAGTCACCACAGAATGCTAGTGTGTAAGAAAATTGCTTTTATTCCATATAAAAATTCAATGATCCTGTGATGACACTTATTGGCATTTTCTCACATATGGATTTATTCGAAGGAGTTATACATCAACATTCTTACTGTATAATAAACCTATCATAAACTTTACGTTTTACAGTTTTTTGATAATTTCATCAAGTTGTGTCATTAACTTATAATTTACCTCCATCTTTTCCTTGTGTCTTTTCTGTGTGTTTTCTTCAGTAATTGCTCGGCTTTTTACAATTGCTTTTGCAAAATCTTCATTAATTTTACGTTTATTGCCTACAACTGTACACAAGTATACATATTTTTTTAAAAGTATAAATATCAATTATATATAAATATATATGTCGTACTACCTAAAGATTTATACAGGATGAATCAGAATAATTGAACCAGTTTATTACTTAAGAGTGCATATCTCATTACTCTATCGACTGCATATCTAATTATAATTAAAAAATTGTTAATAATTTGTCTCAGAGTACAAATTGATTCGATTGTTCTGAATCACTCTAATATTTAATATAAATTATATTTCAACTATATAATAAAAGTCCTAATTTAAATTACAAAGAGCTAATTACACGTTGATTTAGGAGACACGCTAATATTTGGATCCAAATTTTCATTGCCAGACATATCAGACTCATTAGACGCGGAGTTTGTACTTGCTTGTCTAGGATTCAGTGATTCTACACCAGTAGAAGAAAGTGTTGCTAAAGGTGTTATGTACGGTTTCTCGCCAAGAAGACTATCCATCAACTAAACAGTTCATTCAGTATTATAAATTCGCATCAATGGGATAAGAAGTGGTGTTCCTATTTTGTACATTATATGTCTATTATAACAAACACACACACACACACACACACACACACACACTCATACAGGGTATTTGAGAAAAAATGAAACATGATAGAATGGACTAAACTAAGAAGAAAAGTCCTGTACCATTTTATAATTTCAAATACAAAGAATAAATAGGCTAATGAGAGTAAACTCGCTGTTATCAATGCGAAATCACAAAAAACAATATATATTCGTTAACAATCAAAAAATGTCATATATAAAATACTATACGTTTCGGCCTAACATCCGGGCCATCTTCAGTAGTAAATTCACAAAAAAGACATGGATTTGTAGAAAAGTGGTCACTCTCAACGTCAAATCCACATGGTTGGTAGGTTATGTGCAAACGACTAGACGTTAATCGACAAATCCATGATTAACAAGATAAAGTTGTATTAAAGAAATAAAAGACCACCATCAGACAAACAACAAATTAATATAAAACAAGTCAAAAGATAAAAATCCGAAGATAACATTTTGGTGGTCACGATTTAAACACATTTAAATCGTGACCACCAAAATGTTATCTTCGGATTTTTATCTTTTGACTTGTTTTATATTAATTTGTTGTTTGTCTGATGGTGGTCTTTTATTTCTTTAATACAACTTTATCTTGTTAATCATGGATTTGTCGATTAACGTCTAGTCGTTTGCACATGACCTACCAACCATGTGGATTTGATTGTTTGACGTTGAGAGTGACCACTTTTCTACAGATCCATGTCTTTTTTGTGAATTTACTACTGAAGATGGCCCGGATGTTAGGCCGAAACGTATAGTATTTTATATATGACATTTTTTGATTGTTAACGAATATATATTGTTTTTTGTGATTTCGCATTGATAACAGCGAGTTTACTCTCATTAGCCTATTTATTCTTTGTATTTGAAATTTTCGAGAGTCGATTTTTATATTTAATTTTTTTTCATTTTATAATTGTCGCAATAGTTAACGAGATATTAATTTATAAAAATATCCAAATTACGCATGCGGCGCGGTCTATTCAGCCGCGTCCTTGCATTTGGCGGTGGGCCAGGCAAATTTGGATATTTTTATAAATTAAAATGGTACAGAACTTTTCTTCTCAGTTTAGTTCATTCTACCATGTTTCATTTTTTCTCAAACACCCTGTGTATATACGTACATCAAAATATTTCCATGATCGCTTGTTATTGCCCGATTTTCCGTTATGGTCTTTTACAGCCTTATATGTTCTTTTCATGGTATTCACTCGGGTAGTGCATTGTCTGCCTGTAACCATATAATTTTTGCTATTCATCACTTGAGCAATTTGGTCCCATGCTTTTTTTTGGGAGATTCTTCCTGAATACATGTCCTGCTCCCGTTGCCTATATTCTTCTATTAAAAGTAAAACTGCTTCATGAGACCATCTGAAACCTGTATCATAAATAAAGATATTGTATAAATATAATTTTTTTTTTGCTAAATTCATGAAACGTTATGACTGTAAACAATGTAGAATTTATTTACCTTCCACCAACTCTTCATTTAAGTCGATTTGTGGAGACGCTGTTGTAGTATTTTCTTGGACATTTTCAGATGAAGAAGATGCTGCAGTGTTCATTTCAATGTCTGTAAATAAAACGTATGTTCATATAACTTTTTTTAATTACAAAATGTTATATATATAACATATTTTGTAATTAAAAAAATAAAAAGAATTACAAACCAAATCTTTCGCTGCAGACCGAGTCTCTTGTCATGTTAGCTGAGGCACAAGTGGACATCAGTACATGTGGAGTTTCTAGAAGAAAGTGACTAGTTATGACAAAAATGCCGTTACATTACTCGCTTTATGTGTCATAAAACAATTGAAACGAATTAATCCAATGTCATGCATAAATGCCATTAAAATAATTCTTATTGAATGCTCACCATTTTTATTCTTATTTTGCCGTGCAAAGTTTAATAAAGCTGTTGCGAAAGCTATATCTATTAAAAGGAATAACAAAAGTAAGAAGAAAATACAAACAATATGAAGTTGACTGAAAGCAAAAACATATTCTCTGCTTCAAAAACAAAATTCACTGCTCTAAAAACAGAAAAATAATATAAAAAAATAATTTATGTTTGCAAAGTAGAAAATTTGTATTTAAAACAATGAATTTGTATTTTTAAAGCAGTGAATTTGTGTTTGTAAAGCAGAGAATTTATTTATAAAGTGAAAATGTAATTGTAGCACATGCTTTTTCATTGCAATATTTTGTGGCTGTGACAGATTTCCTAAGCTGCCCAGTAAAATTAGAATTTTGGACTCGGTAATGATCATACGAATCCCCATTTTTATCTATTACAATTCCTTGAGAATTGAAATAGAAGTGGATTTGTGTGTGATCATTGCCGAATCCAAAATTTTGATTTTTCGGATACTGAGTGAATATAGTTGTAAACTTTAATGATTAATACT